GCATTTTTTTAACCAGACTGCTCTGGATTTAAGCTTTAATCCTCCAAAACATGAAATCTGACTGAAAAAGCGTTTCATCTACACGCCGGCGTCAGAGGAAATGTGATCTCCGGGCTAAAGCTGCTGAGTCTGGGAGGTTTTGGGTAAACAAACGCGGCCCGGGGCTGAAATTCCATGCAGGTAAAACTGGAGGATTCAAAACCTATCTGAGGGGCTTGTTCCTCACAAAAGAAGCTCCGGAAAAAAGAAAAAAAGAAAGAAAAGTCAATCACTTTCAAGCCAAACTTTAAATCCAAAGACGTTTCGTTCGTCCAAATTCGCGTTTGGACCATTTTTTCTTCTCTACCGGAGATCTAAAATCCACCTTCTGGGGAACAACAGAGGACCAGGACGATCGGGTTTCTTTTCTTTGTGTTAATTTATCTTTTTTTTTTTTTCAAATCCAGGCTGGATTACATCACTGTTGCAGATGTTTTTGTGTCTCCAGCTCTGAAATGTTGCGTTTATATGCCGTCCACTCCCACAGGCAGTGTGGAGCCTCTAACTAACCCAAAATCCATGTTTTTTGGACCCACTGTCTGGAAAGAAAGGTTTCGTGTTTCCTTTTGAAAAGCGTCTGGTGATCCAACATGTGCTGGACAGCACGTTCCCCCCCGATCCAGTTTTTACAACATCTGTGTGCCTTTAAAGCCGGTGAAGGGGAGCCTTCACCTCCCGGGGAAACACTCCATTAACCTCACATTAAACTGGCTAAATAGACCGTTTTTTAGCCTCAGATTTGTGGCGTTTATGTGGAAGCAAAGACCCGAACTGAAACCCAGCTGTCAAAAGAATTTGGCCACCAGGTGGGCCAAGTACGTCACCAATAGGAAGATCCCAGGAGAGAAAATCCTAATTGCTTCATGGCACTATAGACATTCATTTAAAAATAGTGAAATGAATCTTGCAAACACTGAATTAAACTCTATCCATAATATTATGTTAAAATAGTGGATGTTAAATAGTTTTGTACAATAAGTCCAAACAAGCTAAACCAAAAAATCTTTATTTCTCACAGTTATGAAGGGTGGAGGGTTAGGTTTAGGGTTAGGATTAGGGTTAGGATCAGGGTTAGGGTTAGGGCTAGGGCTAGAGTTAGGGTCAGGGTTAGGGTTAGGGTTAGGGTTAGGGTCAGGGTTAGGATTAGGGTTAGGGTTAGGATTAGGGCTAGGGCTAGGGTCAGGGTCAGGGTTAAGGTTAGGGTCAGGGTTAGGGTTAGGGTTAGGATTAAGTTTAGGGTCAGGGTTAGAGTTAGGGTTAGGGTTAGGGTTAGGGTTAGGATTACGGTCAGGGTCAGGGTTAGAGTTAGGATTAGGACATCGTTTGTCTTCTGATTTCGTATAGACAGTAAAGTTTCGTTTCCACCTTAGAAAGCTGCTAATCACATGACCTAATCAAAATGGCCGACGTGGATGTGGGAGGAGTCGGACATCCAACCGAGGCTCCTACAGACTGCAGACAGAGGCTGGTCCCTGAGGTGGATAACTATAAATCCCTTAACCCTTTAAAGCCTGATCCAAGAAAAATAGGAAGAATATTGGATTTTTTAGTCTGAAGTCTTTCTTTGGCCCCTCAACAACATATGAAGAAAAAAAAACACACATTTTTTAATCAAATTAACGTGCAATAAGTCAAAATATATTGTGGTGTAGTCTTCTACTGGCTGTTATCAGGTATATCTGAATGTGTACAACAGGGGTTTGAGCAAAGCTTTTACCACTGAATGATGCAAAAAGTCTCAGATCCAAAAGACTTCAGAAATCGTTTTTATCAAATATGACACATTTGGCATTATAGGGTTAAATCTACAGAATTGACCAAGCTGACGGGGATCTTTGCAGCTGGACTTCTCGCTCGTTCAGGGCCCTGAATGTTAGTTAAAAATTAGGGGAAACTGGCAGTTTTCCCCATAACAGGGGACCCAAACAGGAAAACAAAAACTCCAGATCTGATGTGGGCCGAGTTCAGGAAAAAATCTGTTTATTCTTCCAGGTTTGTTTCACGGTGACACAAGCACCCGTTCTGTGTGAATGACGTCATGCTGCGTTTCTTAGCTTTTAAACAACGAGTTCGGAGGCTGGTTCAAACACAAAAGACGGAGCGAAACTCCCGTTTAACAGCACATTTATTCAGTGAAAATGCGGCTCTTAGGATGAGCCTCAGATCCACAAGACTTCAGAAACTGTATGAATCAAATACGACACATTTGGCGTTATACGGCTAAACGTAGCTGTGAACCTCTTGCAGATGACGAGGAGGTGGCCCGAACT